GAGGGATCTGTTGAAACCTCCTACCCTCACTCTCTCTCCACCCACTGCACCTCAGTGCCTTGTCACATGGGAAGCACCTATGTCTCGCACCCCCTGGAAGGCCCCTAGCCTCCATCTCTAAGCTGACTTTACCTCCTCAAACTATACTTAATCCAGTGGTCCCTCCTACAGCTGGGCTGGAAACGAGGGTCCTGAGGAAGACAAGCCTCTCTCTGGTGTGCATTCCTGAGGCCACCAACTCTGGCCTTATGGGACTTTATGTCTGGGTTTGTGTCTTATCTCATCATGGAGCCACCTCAAACTGAAGCGTGGCCACTAATCCAATGCCAGCCCTGCCTGGGTCTAGCCACACCACAGAAGAATGTCCCAACGTGCAAACAGCCCCCAACCCCAAACAAAACACCTCCACCTAGAGACAGAGACTGAAATCTCTGGCTTTAGCCCCAGCCACCTCTAGCCAGGTGGGAGCTGACCCCTGCTCATGCAATGCCTGCTTAAGGAACTGTCTCATGAGATAGGGGCTGGAACAGGGGCTCCTGGCATCTAGAACTAGCTCAGACCCAAGAGTAAGTCAGGAATGCAGCTTCTGTACCGACCCCCAGGACACTTCCTGTCCTGACCCTTGGTCCTAGAGCTTGTGGGCCAGCATGGTTGCTTCAGAGTACCCCAACTAAGTGCTGCGCCTGCAGCTGGCGGTGGTGCTGGGACTTCCTCCTCCGGGCCCCACCTAGCCTGGGGAGGGGGCCCACCCAGCTCACACCCAGCATGCGCTGCACCCCACACCAAGCCCCACAGCACTTGCCTTTTTGGGTTCCATAGAAACGATGTTGCCCATAGAGAACATTGCTGTTTCCATGGTGATCCAAGTGGCTCACGGGTAGGAAGGTAGATGCCAGACTCCCCGAAAATCTGGGGTACGCAGGAGCTAGGGAAGCAAAGCACTGGCTGTAGAGACGACCCTTAGCGCCCTGGCCCTTACCACCCTGACCCCAAGGAGTCAGGAAGTAGCAGGCAGCCCGGGAGCAGCACCCCGCGGAGCCTGCTCACAGCCCGCCAGTGGGAAATCAACCCGTCAATACATCATATTAACTCTGACTCACTAACACCATCCCTCCGGTGCCGCACAAATTGAATTGCGGATGGGCTAGGGGCTGGAGGGGGAGGGGCTGGAGGGGGGAGGCTGCCTTTGTTTCCCTCCCAGCAGTGCTTGGCCTGGCTGGAGCTTCCAGGCCAGGCCACAAAGGGGCCTGGAGGGCCGGCTGGAAAGGAGGAATGCAGTGTGGACTCTCCATGAGTTCTCAGCCAAGGGAGGGCAAACCAGAGAGGGCCCCCAGCCTGCACCCTCCACAGGCACCCAGGACAGCAGATGGTCTTGGTAGAGTTGTGCTGTACCCCACAGCTGGTCTGGGTGACTCACACTCGAGGTAGCTGAAGCTAGGATATGGCCAGTTCCCACTTGTTGGTAGCCACGGGTCTCTCCCCTCAACTGGCTTTTCTATGGGGACCCAGCATCATCTTACGTTCCTGCCTGCAAGGTCCCTGGCAGGCCACACGGCGTACAAGGCCTTAGCCCCAACTCCTACCTGGCAACACAGCAGCCCCCGTCTGCCCCTCAGAGGCAGCCAGAGTTCTGAAGGGCCGCACCTACATGGCACAGCAATGCTGACCACAGCCTAGAGCCAATCCCACCCTGCTGACCTTGGGCCTACAGTGGCTCTTGTTACCTGGAACAATGTTCCTTTTCCCCTTACCCATGAGGTCCCAGCTTGCAAGAAAAATGACCGATCCCTGACAGCAAGCCTTAGGAGGGGGCACAAAGCTGTAACACTGCGAGCTGGAGAGATGGCTCAGTGGTTAAGAACACTGGCTGCTCTTGCAGAGGACCTGGGTTCAATTCCCAGCACCACAAAGTGGTTCACAATCACCCATAACTCCATTTTCAGGGAACCCAACACCTTCTTCTGATCTCAGTGGGTACCAGGCATACATACGGTACAGACATATATGCAAGCAAAATACTCACATACATAAAATAAAATCAGTACATCTAAAACATTTTTGAAAAGGAAAAAAAGCTGCAGTATCGCAGACTCCTCTGGGGGGGCTCAGAATTGGAGACCCAGAGTGCCACCAGCCCTAGTACTAATGGCTTCTTGGCTGGTCCCTCCCATCAGGCCTGACAGGAGCCGGGGGACCTGGACCTCCATCAAACCCACCAAGGAGTCTTGGCTGCTAGTAGCTACTGCCCCTACCCACTGCCGTTACCAAGACAGTTGCTAAGATATGGGGAGGGGAACTTATGTCTTCTCCAGTCTGGCTCACTGGCTCAGGCAGCTGGCTTTCTTTCTCTGTTAAATGGGGTGAGGGATCTTCGAGGACACTGGATCAGACTGAAACTATCCCTATAAGGGACTGCATATCCTCAGCAGCATCAAGGTCTTCAGTCAACTCAGTATGAACCTAAAGGCCAGTTGTGGGTACACGAGGTTGGGGCACCCTGAGGCCTGTTGTGAGCATTAGGCAGAGGCTCCCCGGGGGTGAGCTGGAAACCTGTAGGATCAACTCAGAGATGCTCTGCCCGGTGGGCAGGCATTTCCCCGCACTACAGAACAAATCAGAACAGGGCAGCAGGCTGGGCCCAAGTGGGGTCTGCATATATGCTGCTCTGGACACGTCCCCATGGTCAGGCGTCAGGACTCTCTCGGTGTCACGGTGAATTCAATGACAAGTCTCGCTGGAGCCCTGCTTCTCTCAGCCTTGCTTTACTTGGCTCCCCGGATTCTTTTACCACAGAACTCCCAGGCTGTTGAGGTGGGGACTTCTTTGAACCCCTCATGGCTGAGAGTTTAGGAGAACATGGTGACATCCTAAAGAAGCAGATCCAGAGCCACATGACCGCTATCTGGCCATGTCTGTCCTGTCCCACGTCTCCAAAAGCTGATCTGCCTGGATGCTGAGGTCAAGGAGGCCTCTGTGGCAGGGGCCAGGCAGCTCTGGAGCATCCTTGACAGCTCAGGCAAAGGACTCAGAGCTGGTAAACAGTTCACAGCACACACACAAGTCTTGGGCAGAGACCACATGCTACACCCTAATCCCATGGGACTACCACTCAGACCCCTGACTAATGACACTGGGGGACAATCTCTAGTTTGGTGGCTCTTGGGTGCTACATGTAGGAAGAGCTCTATCTTGTCTGACAGTGCAGTCTTCCATCTGAGTCACAAGGCCGGGGGGGAGGGGGGCGTGTGAAGACTCAAGAGAATTCTGTGACATGGAAAACTGCCCACACGGTGTAGCGCCATCTCTCAGACGAGAGTGTACCCTCAGACCACCCGGGAGGACTTGGAGACAGTGCCCACTGCCAGGCTTCTTCCCTCTTTCTGAAGAGCAGGCTGAGACCAAAAGACCTGCCCCATTGGCCTGGTGTGTGTGGACACATCTGCAGCAGATGTTAGCCAGATTAAACTCAGCTCCTGGAAGACTTGACAAAAGCCGAGAGAGAGGCCTGGGTGGGAGCAGCTGGGCAGGGGGGTTGGGGCCTAGAGGAGGGTGGGGGTAAACCACTGCAGCTGTCCCTGTAATTGGCTGCTGTTAAATGTTTTACGGGCCTCGTTTTTTTGGTAAACAGAAGTCTGTAAATTCCTCCTTCCCAGACAATGTTTCCAGGCTCAGAACCCCCTTGCACTCCGAGGAGGCCTGGGCCTCTTCCTGCTCTCTGGGGGCAATGGGTACTTGGCGAACTGAATAAGGGACTCCCTTCCCACCGTGGTCCTTAGGATGCTGTGAAAAGGCCGGTGGATGCCAAGCCAGGGAGCGGGGCTGAAATCTACTGGCCATTCCGACCCATGGAGGTTCATCTCCCAGGCCTCAAATGGGGGAAACGACTAGAGAAGGAAAAGGAGAGGGGCAGAGTCTGGGGGATGGAGTGAGGAAAGGGGGTCCTCTTAGCCCAGCAATAGAAAGGCCCCTTTCTTTTCCCCAAGACTACTCCTGAACTGAAGAGGAGAATAAAAAATGACTTTCAAATCCAAGCTGCTCTGAGACGGGAACCAAGGCTAGGAGACCAGCATCCTGAAAGGACACCAGGCCTGGGATGGGAGATCCTGGCGGGGAGCCAGGGGCACCGGGGAGACGACCCTAGGGCAGAGAGAACTCACTTCTGACCACCAGGTCTACTCGGCCCATTCTCCTGCTGGAAGGTCCAGATCCCGGGGCTTCCCCTGTCCCACAGCCTCTGCCCATCTCAAGCTGCAGCCGCTGGGATGGCTCCAGTGATCACATGACCCATCTGAGGACACCCGCTGACTCGGGGAAGGGGCCCTGGGTAGGTGTGGACGCCGGGCTGAGGACGGGCTGAGGACATCCCATCCTGCCCTGCACTGCCACAGCTACCAGAGACCCTGACGATGGTGAAGGTGGGGATTCCCGATCAACAGGCAGAAAAAGAAAAGATGGCCAGAGGTGAGGTCATCTGGAAACAGCATTCAAAAGACAGCCGGGCAGACAGGTAAATGGGCAGCTGGGCAGGGAAGCCATGAGGTGGGGGCTCCTCCTGCCCACCCAGAAGATCCTCAGACAGGCTGCAAGCCTCCACCTTCCCACTGGGAGACATGGGGCCTGGGACCATTTGCTGTCACTTAGGATGCTCAACAGGAACTTGGTGCTAGCCCTCTCCCCATAACACCCCTTTCACTTACCGCCAGTGATTTCCACTGCAGTTCATTCAATGATAGACCAGAGTGCTGGGCTAAGAATCCTAAAGCTAAATTCTCATGCCGCTTAATTGACTAGTAATGTCTGCCCTGGGAACAGACAGGATGTGGCAGCCAGTTCACAGGACGCTTGCCATCTCTGCTTTAGTGGCTGAAGGGAGTAACCTAGCAACAACCCAAGCTCTCTCTGCCAAATGCCCCCGCTTCAGGGTCTCCTCATGCTATTGGTCAGAATCCTAGTCATCGAGGCCAGGATTTCAAAGTGCAGCTCCCAGGATTGACCACCCAAGTGGCTGGAGATTAGAATGGCAGCCTTCAGAGTATGTCTCCTCCCTAAGGCCTGCAGAGTGCTGACCCATAACTGCAGGGAACAGGGCCCTGCAGTCTCCATGTCCCCAGGCTGAGAGGAATAACTAAGAACCCGAAGAGCCAGGCTCCCACGGGCAGGCTGCCCTGGATCCAGAGGGACAGTCCTCCACATCACAGGGATGTGGCACTGGCCAATGGGGGGCTGGGGAAGTCAACTGATGATGGGAAACCCTGGAGCAGGAGTTTCCTGATGTGGCCCCAACACCTTTCCGGCATCTAGGACAACAGTTCTGTCACCCACACCTTCTGCAGGACCCCCAGATGGTCGGTCTATCGTGCCTGGGACTCCACTCACCCATGGGCAGTGAGCATGTGCATCTGAATGGCAACTGTTTTTGCTCAGGTGAGACCCAAAGATCCAGTAAGATCTTTGCTGGTGACCATGGCCACTGCCCACCCCACAGCCTCCAGCGTATACCTGGGAAAGGGTGCTGCAGGCAGGAGCTACTCTCTGAAGTACTGGTCCTGTGTCGTTCTGTGTCCAAGCAGCTGGGTCAGCCAGCGTGGTTTACTGGTGAAGAAACATGCTCGGAGCCCCTAAGCTGAGCGACTGAAGCTAAGGCTAAGACCGTTCTCGAGGCTGTGACAACGTGAGGATGAGAACCTGGGACCTGTTTCCCTCCGTCTGCAACGAGGCTGGCTGGAGTAGCCTAACCAGTGGGACACCCTGATCCCCAGGGCAGGGTCTAAGAGTTCATTCCTTGATGTTCTCCAAATCTCAGGGTGGCCAGATTTTCCCAACTAGCTCAGCAGCTCCTTGGACATGGGGAGGGACACCATGGGACTTGGAGGACCTAGGGTGAGGCAGTGGACCAAAGAGGAAGGGCCAAGGTTCTGAGGGGGGGTCAAGGGGATATTTCATGCAGCAGGTGTAGAGATGGCTCAGCAGTGTTGTGTACTGCTCTTGCAGAAGACCCAGGTTCTGTCTCCAGCATCCACCTCTGGTGGGTCACAATGACCCGTAACCTAACTCCAGGAGACCCAATGCCCTCTTCTGGACTCATGAGCACCTACACTCACATGTGTACACCCACCCCCCACCCGCCGCCACAGAAACACATTTATACACATAACTAAAAATAATCTTATTTTTTTTTTTTAAGGGAAGAAGGAGAGGTTGCAGGGTACAATGGATCATGCCTACGTATCAGCAACGAGGAGGTGTGGACAAAAGGATCGCTGTACTTTCTAGACCAGACAACCAGCCTTCACGGCAAGGTCTAGGCCAGCCAGAGTTGCACGGTGAGTCTGTTTCAAGAAAACCAAATGAAAGAGCAAAAGAAAGGGAGAGCGCGCCCAGGGGCTGAAGAAAAAGTGTTAGGGCACATGCAGCCACCAGGGGGCAATTCCAAGGCATGGAGTCTGACGGCCACAGAGGCCTCGGGCCCACCCATGTAGGTGGATGCTGGATAGGACCTGTCTTCCTGCTGGACATGTTCCAGGCCCTGCTTACTCCTGTGCTAAGTCTTGAGGTCTCATAAGGTATTGGGGGAGACAGAGGCAGCTGGAGAAATGTGGGAGTGTGTGGGGTCTGGAACAGCAGGGCACACTTGGTGGTGGCTCCTGTCTCACTGGGATTTAGCCAGGCAGGGATGGAGAAGTGGCCACCAGGGTGGGTGTGGCTTTGACAGAAGCTGGCCAGGCAGCCAGCCAGCGCTGGCACGTGTGTCATGGCTCCCCCTCCAGGTGGCACAAGAGACCACGACCAGCAGGGCCCAGTCAGCGTGGAGCTCCTGTACCCACCCCCAAGCCCCTAGCAACAGCATCCCCTTTCATTACCCTGTGGGTGGTCCCAAGCAGGCAGCTGGTGGGGGGGGGCGCTGTTCAGGCTCGCTGACAATGGGGCCAGCTGTGCCGCACCACACCCCAACCCCAGCAACCCAGGCCAGGTTGGCAGTTAGCCACTCACCTCTGCCCCAGGCTAGTTCTGCTGTCCACCCTACCCCAAGGCCTGGATGGTCCACTTCTGGCAAGGCCCATCATCTTGGGTGAGCCAAGGGGCCAGAAGGCCTGGGGCTCAGCAAGAAAGTCCTGCTCCAGGCCAGATGTTCCTAGGCGGCTCCTCCAACACCAGGGTGCATCCCTTGAACCCCCAGCTGTTCCAGGGACACAGGAAGCCCGGGCCCCCACTCTAGCAGCTGCCTTGCAGATGGTGAGGGGGGGTGTTGTGGAGGTCTGCGAGTCCCTGTCAGGAGCGGGAGGGCACCCATGGCTAACTCCCACATGAAGTGCTACTTGTCGGCCCCATCCTGGCCTACCTGCCCTAGACACGAGAATGCAGGGGGGAGGCGGGGGGAGGCTGGGCAGAGTCCCTGCATCTCTACATTCTGGGGGTGGCTGAAGGAAGCAGGACGAGGGCAAGGCTGGGCCTCCTGGCCGACCGCCCAGGAGGCCCCCATTGTGGACGGCCCTCTTTCTCGGGCCGTGTCGCGTGCTCCCGCCTGCCTCGCCCCCCCACCCTCCTGTACACACATGGCCGAGAAACAGGCCCTAGCACGTGGAGCCAGCTGGCACCTCGTCAGACTAGCAGCCAGGCACGCTGCCAGGGCAGGCAGCCAGGCTGCCACTCGCTCCCGCCCCGCCCGCCCTGGCCTCTACCGCACAGAGCAGGCTGCACCATGTGGCCCGTCAGGGAGTGAGGCTGTAGCCGTCGGAGACAGGGGAACCCCCGGGCGGGGGGGGGGGGCAGTGAGGGGTAACCTGAGGCACAGGCCTGAGAAGTATGGGTTGTCATGTGACTCCCAGACAGACGTGGACTTGCTGCCACTCTCTGGGGGAACTTAGAAGGTTCCACTCCAGGACTGCTGCCTCCCCACACACCTGTCTCCAGCCCCCAGTGGGCCCTGTGCTCTGCTGTGGGGAGCCGTGAACGTCCTGCTTCTTGTCCTGTATGCACCTGTGCACGCTCTCCCCGACCTGACCCTGGGAACTTCATTTTACACCTGCCACACTGGGTGCCCAGCAGTGGGCAGAGACCCCTGCTGCCTTGGAGCTGGTCTCAGAGACAAACGCTTCTCCTTGGGACACAGCCAGGCCCCTCTTCCTGCCTTGAATGTGGGACAGAGTGTGAGCGAGTCATAGGACACAGCCCAGAAGCCCAGCTAGGCTCTGCTCTCCACAGCACACTGCTGAATTCCGGCTTCCACCAGCCAAGTGGGCATCCTTGGGACTAGGACATGAAAACAGAACCTACAGAGGCTGGCTGGGCTCCTTTCGGGGGCTGAGGTTTGAGGCTACCTAGGGTGGGTTATAAGCAATCCTACCAGACAACCGTTGATGTAAGGGAAGTCAATGGCTGTGGGTGCTCTCAGGGGGCCTCCGCCCACCCTCCTGAGTGAGTGGCCCAATAGGGAACGGGACTGGGCTCTGGGCAGGTGGTGGCACCCACAAACTGCCCTTCTCCCGGGTGGTGTCTCCTGGGGTGAGATGGAGAGGAAGCAGGCATGTGTGTCTTCACTGAGTAGGAGGTGGGCTGACATGCCCGGGCACTGATGGGGCACCGCTGGTTACCAGGATGGAAATCACGTCAGGTGGCCCAGGCACACCAGTCCACCTGTGGTCAGTGCGGGGACGCAGCCCTTTCATGAGTGGCCTCCACGGCTTGCTCCTTCTGCCTGGCCACCCTCATCCTTCCTGCAAACATCCTGGGAGCCAGATGCTACGGCCAGCTGGGAGATGCCCAGCAGACACAAAAGGCTGGTTGGAGAACAGGGAGCAAGTGTTTCCTTCAGGGCCCGGGGCCACCCACAGCTGGCCGGGGAGTCTCTTACCAGGGCCCAGCTCCGTCAACCCAGACTCCACCCAGGACTCTGCTGGGAGGGCAAGGGTAGGTCTGGGCTGAAGACCTCACTCTGTCTCTTTGGTCCTCGGGACCCGGCCTACCCTCCGTCCAGGAGAGCCTGGTCCTTATCTCCTGTCCAGCTCGTGTGCTCTGGGCAGAGCCCGAAGCCAGATCACTCCAACAACTGGCCCTCCCTCGTCACCTGTCCTGTTTGGAAAACAGCCCCTTCTTGTTGCACAAAGAGGTTTCTCAGGCTTCCTGCAGTGCTGGGCGCTAATCTCTCTGCCTAGAACACGGACGGACGGACAGGCTGTGCGCCGTGTGTGGGTCCACTGCGCTCTGTAAACAGGACGCCTGAGCGCGGCAGTCATTGAGTTACGGCAGCGCCTGGTGCCAGGAGCGAGAGCTCTGTGTGCCCGCTGCCAACTGCAATTACCTCCCGCGTGCCAGCCAGGGAGGGGGGTTAACCCTTCCTGTACCATGGGGGATGCACAATCAAGAGAGCAGAAGCAATGACCAGGCCGGGAGTCCTGGGGACCTGGGGCCACTTCCCAAGTTAACCTCAGACACCCGGACAGAGTACACCCCAGTCTGGGAAAGGCCAGCAGAGGTTCTAGAGACCATCCTGTTTCATGATGTCGGAGTAACAGGTACTTCTAAGGTGCCAGAGGGTACCAAGCACAAGGCTGGCGGCCCAGGACGAGCTCTGTCACAGGCAGGACTGGGGTGGGGGTGGGAGCAACCATGGTCTCTGCCTCCTGACAGCTCTCTTCTCCCTGCCTCTCCCTCCCAGCTGACACATCTGGAACCCATGCCTGCTTGAGTCTGGGGAGGTGGGGGGCGGCCATGGTGGAGGGCATGGCCCAGCCCGGCTGGCCCAGCTGCATTCCAGATTTCCTTAGTTCCCTGGAATCCTCCCTGCCTAACATCTGGAGCACACATCTGGCCAGGACCAGTGCCTACTGGGGCCACCCCCATTTCCAACCAATTACCGACTCCCCTGAGAGACTTCCTCAGCAGGGAGGCAGCCCCCTGCCCTAGCACTCTGGGCAGGGCCTGACCGCAAGGGCATCACCACCTGGTTCGCGATCCCTGGGCACAGCAGTCAGGAGCGCAGGACCTGACTTACCTTCGTGGGAGTGGGAGAACCAGATCTGGGAGGTGGCAGGGTGGGATCCTCGGTAGGCTGGCTCCGAGGGAGAGGATGTAGGGCCACTAGGGTGTGCAGAAGCTGTGGATCCCAGGCTGCTGGTGAGGAAGCTGCCCATGAAAGAGGAGGCTGGGGGATTTCCCATGAGACGGCTGCTGGCTGTGGACACAGGAGAGAGTGAGTCTGTGGCGCCCCCACAGCGTGGACACAGGACAAGAGTGAGTCTGTGGCGCCCCCACGGCGTGGACACAGGACAAGAGGGAGTCTGTGGCGCCCCACGGTGTGGACACAGGACAAGAGTGAGTCTGTGGCGCCCCCACGGCGTGGACACAGGACGAGAGGGAGTCTGTGGCGCCTCCACGGCACCACATGAGCAGCGCGGAGCCCACGGTGCCGATTCCCTCCTCCAGGTGCCTTGCAGGAACCCTTGCTCCCATAGGGCCCCTGTCTTCAAATACCCAGAAAACCATGGCAGGAAAAGCTGCCCACACACGGCCTTGACAATCACACCCAGGGTCCTGAGCCTCCTGAACCTCTGGTGTCTTAGGAGTAAAACCTTTTACTTCAAAACCACATTGCCACCACCATCTGCACCACCACGACCCACAAACCATTACCATACCCACAACAGCAACAACAACCAAAGCATCACCACTACCACCCACACCACCAATCACACCATCACTGCTACCACCCATACCACCACCACCAATCACACCATCACCACTACCACCACCACTAGCCACATCATCACCACTTACAACCATATCACTACCATCCCACATCACCACAACCCCTCATTCATATCACCCCTCATTAACCCCACCAAAACCCACACCAACAACGACCACCACCACCTACATCACCCCACCCCCAGCCCCATCACCACCACCACCACTATCCACATAATTTGGTCACCATCATGTCCTTAACCACCAGTACCACCCACATCACCACTACAAACAGATCACTACCATCATCACCATCACTATCCACTCCCATATCACCATCCCTGTCACCACTAACAACCATATCACCACCACCAACAGCTATATGACCACCACCACTGCCACCAACAATTATATCACCTAGTCACCATCACTAACCACATCACCTCGCCATCATCATTAGCGTACACATCACCCCCACTGTGACAACCACCATCACCACCAATTAATCACATTACCAACACCATTACCTAACAACCATCACAGCCTCTTCCGTCACCATCATCACCAACTAGGTACTTAGCATGCCGTCAAAAGCACATTTAGGACTGGGTGGACAAACTCCCCCGGGCCTTCTCATTAGCACAGCTCTCAGCCCAGGCGGTGGCACTTGAAGGCCTCTCTGATGCCGATCGCTCTGTCGGCAAGCTCTGCCCATGCCTCACTGAGGGGCCCAGGTGACGCACTGGAGGCTGTAGGGGCAGAGGTCCCTGCCCTTTCCTGGGAAGTGTGGGAGAAACAGGCCTTTCCCCTTCCCCACACCACTTAACTGACTAGTTAGACAGGGGTCCCAGTCCCAGGTGAATAAGCAGAGACTGAACTGAAAGGAAGACGGACATGTCAGGCAGGGAAGGAGACCAGAACTACACAGAGCAGCTCTTCACGTCCCCTCTGGGTTGCTCAGGATCAGGGTCCGACAGAGCTGGCAGAGCAGAAGACAGTCATTTATCTGAGGCTCAGACACTGAGAGTCCCAGGCTTCTTGGACGGGTCCAGCATTTTCCTCAGTGGTCTGTGAAGGCAGTAGATGGTGAGCTGCCCCTGGCTCCAGGCTGGCCTCCAGGGCCTGTGCACCCTCTTCTGCTGCCCACCAGCCTGCTACATCCTCCACTGGTGGCTGTCATGGTCTATGCACCCTCTCTGCCGGAGTCCAGCAGTCAGGGCCAGGCCAAGTAAGTCTCCCTGGTTGTCATGGCTACCAGCTCTTGTCTGCACACAACATACGTGCACAGAAAGCTTCTGCATACACGGCCGCTCGGTGGGTGGTCTGGGCTGCACTGTTGGCCCTTCACCCCAGCATGGTGCCCTGGTACCTTGCCACCTCTGTCCCTGGGCAGGAAGCCTAGTCCACGGCCAGCCCAGGGTGGAAAGCAGAGCAGAGCGGGCGGAGCCCGGCCATCCCAAGGTGAGTCACAGCAGTAGCTTCCCGCCCAGGAGGCAGGGAAATTGGTGAACTGGTGATGCCTCATCTCGCCTGGCCTGGCCCTGGGAACTTCCCAAACACAGTGTGACTCAGCAGGGAAGCACTCAGGCTAGGGGAGGGGACTGCCCCGTGGGACCCTGGCATCTATACTGAGTTCCACTAGCTTCCAGCCTAGCGGTTGGAACGCGGCTTCTTCTCTTACTGGTGTGAAGGAATGGAGCGCACAGTGGAGAGGGCATGGCCACAGGAGGGGTCTGTGAGACCTAAAAGGGTCCTCTGCTTTGTGCAGGCCCATGAAGAACATGCTGACGGTGCCTAAGAGCCAGGGACTTCCCGGACAAGACCACATGGCTGGGGTTGCCAGGGGACCCTGTCCAGACCACAGGCGTGTCCACGACACGGGAGGAGGCTCCAGGCTGGGAAGGGAAGTGCTGGCCTCCTTGCCCTGCTCCAGGGACTGTGGGGGGCCATGCTTGTGGGCTGAGTGTGGCTGCTCCAGCTGCAAACTTTCTGCCCCCGCCTCGCCTGCCCAAGTCCCTCAGGCCTTTCTGTTCCTCCCACCCCAACTCCCTCCTAGGGAAGCACCGCCCACCCTTTCCTCTCTAGACCATGGGAAGCGATGGAGTCCAAAAGTTGGGTCTGCAAAAACAATTTCTCCAGGATCTTGGCTTGGGAATGGTGCACCTTGAGTTCTCACATCACAGTGGACAAGCTGGCATTGACCCTCAGCTCAGTGTCCCACAGGACCCACGGATCCATGAAAGTGAGGGGTGGCAACAGGTCCCTCAGTCTCCCGGCAGGGAGGGGGACCAGCGCGGGTCTGGACATCTAGGTAAATGGCTCACAGCCTAGCAGGATGTCTGAGTACTGGGCCCCCAAGTCAGAGCCCAGGTTGTCTGAGGGCATCATCTGCCAACCCAGGATCCTGACCCTGAGAGGAACTACAGTTGACACTCTGCTCCACTATTGCCCCAGAAGAGGGTCCTTCTGACTGGAGGCCTGAGGGAAAACAGCCTGGCCAGCCCCTACCCTAGCTGAATGAAGGCAGGGCCTGCTCCAGTGAGAGGCTGGCAGACCTGTGCCAAGCTCTTCCAGCCTAGGGCCCTCATCACCCCGTACTGGCCTGTTTCTGACTTGGGGGTCTTTTAGGGGTGCTTTTTACAGCTGCTTCAGCTAAGCCCATTAAAGCAGGGGCTGCTGTCTGCAGGGTCTGTGAAATTCAGGAGGTTGGGGCAGGTCACAGTCCTGCCCCTCTGGACCCTCTGACAAGTCACCTCCTGTGGGTTTCTGGCTGTTCCTGGGGGTCTTCACTTCCCTCCCTTTCCTGATGAAAAGTGAAGGACTGAGCATAACGCCCTCACCGCACACGCCACATCTCCTGTCCAAGCAGTAAAGGCAGCGGAGATCCCCAGCCCTAAGGTCACTTCCATGAGTGTTTCAAGGGCACTTCTGGGCACTGGTGACCTTGGCATGGAGTTCTCCTATGGGGTAGCCAACTTCCTGGAACACTGGCCCAGGAGACATCACTCCCTTCCACAGTTCAGGATGGCCCAGGCAGGCCCCATATGGGCCACAGATGATAGTGACCATGACTCTAACTTTGGAAGAGTGGGATTCTCCTCGCCATCCTGGCCCTGGTGGGAAACCTGCGAGAGATCCTGTGGGCCTTGCCAAGTGGACAGCCTCGTGGTGGGCGGCAACTGTCCGGGGGAAGAGAAGCATTCCTATTCCTTGAGGCTTTCCTCAGCCTACCTGGCTTCTAAGGGACCTGAAAGAAACCCTAGGACCTGGGATCTGTGTTCCATTGTCACCTCTGAGGACTGGAGAGATGGCACTGGGCCAGGCAAGCAGAGCCCTGGGCAGACCTGGCAGCCACTTTCTAAACTCTGCCTGCTGACCAGGAGCCAAGCCCAGGCAGGGCTGGTGCAGTGGCTGCCTGGGAGCCCAGTTCAGCTTGGGCCCTAGCCAGGGCCACTGCCTCAGGCCAAGTCCAGCCGGGAACTAGGCTGAAGGCCCTTTCCTCTTGGCAAAGTTCCCTGTCTATGAATGCTGTGGTTACCAGCCTAGGAAGGACATGGCGAAGCCTGGTACAGTGGAGAGACCCAGAAGGGCTTCTGACAGTGAGGCCCTTCAGTCAGGCCCTCAGATCTTCACTCCAACCACACTGGGCCCAGGTCATTGCCAGTCCCAGCCCACAGCCCCAAGGACCACAGGCTGAACAGGCCTGCAGAATAATGCCACTGACCACCCAGTCACCTGAGTGTGTACAAGCCCAGCCCACTGACTGAACATTTTCCCAGAAAAGATCTGAGAAGTGTGAGGAAGTGGCCTCCGGGATAGGCAATTCTGTGCTGTGTGTGCATCAGACCCTACCAGCCACTCTACTGGCCTGCAGCTCTGGACATGAGGCAGGTTGTGGTCTCAGCTCCAGGGATACCTGCCCAGGACACCATGAAGGCCTGGCTTGAATGCCTGGCTGGCTGAGAAAAACATTCTGGAAGCCAGCACGCTGGAGGACTGACCCGACGCACCTCAGACAATGAACACAGAAGGCAGAGCCCTGTCCACGGGAGGCTAGTCTGTTCCCATGCCAAGGCAAGTGACCTGCATGGGACCACGGGCCACAGCCGGATCATGGCTCCTCCAGGGCTACCAAGAGCAGGAAGGCTGGGGAAACTGCTGGGCGGAGCAGAGAATGGTCTGCTAGGAGGTCCCCTGGCACAGCACAGCTTCCAGACCCCTAACTGCTGGGCGGAGCAGAGAATGGTCTGCTAGGAGGTCCCCTGGCACAGCACAGCTATCAGACCCCTTTCTGGGAAGATGGTGTACCTGTGTGAGGAGGGAAAGAGAACGGAGTCCCTGGGCTTGTCAGGGCTCCTTGGAGGACTGGCCATCAACTGCAACACAGGGGAGAACAGCCCCTTCAACCTGGCACTTGGGGATGTAGAGGCTGCCGTCCTGGAACACCCTGGTCCCGAGAGAAGCCGAACTGCCTAGATCAGGTTGGCGTGTGTGTGTGTGTGTGTGTGTGTGTGTGTGTGTGTGTGTGTGTGTGTGTGTGTGTGAGAATCTAGCTAGCCATGAGCCAGTAAGAAAGTCAGAGAATGGACTAGCAAGCAGCCTCCTTTCACGGTTTCTTCATCATGCTCCTGCTTGAGCTCCTAGTTCAACTTTCCTCAAAGATGGAACGTGACCTGGAAGTGTAAGCCAAATAAGCCAAATGGTGAGGTTGTTTTGGGCCAGACTGTTAAATCACAGCAACAGAATGAAACCAGAATACCTGGAGATCTCTGACCACTGAGACCACTATGTGGTCGGTAGGGTAGCAACAAACGGCACTGCCTGGAGGCAAACGTGGCCTACATGACTAGATACAACTCTTGGCAGAGGAGGAAGGAGAGACAGGCCTCTTTCCTCTCGCCTATGTGTGCACCGGGCCCACGTGTGGGCCACGACAGTCCACAGACCTGAAGTCATGGGGCAACCTGAGAGTGCCTAGGAGCGTGGATGTAGCCTGGAGAGGGTGTTGTCAGCTGAAGCCTTGGAGAACAAAGCCTTCTGGGTCTGACTGGCTGCCTCACACTGTGTCAAAGATCCCCAAGCATCTGGCCCACCTGCGCCCATTCCTGAGTGGCTGAATGGCCAGGTGCTAGCTAGTCGGTGCACCGGCTCTCTGGCCAGGCTGTCCCATCTTGGCATTCTGACACCACTGAGAACCAGTGGGATAGGGGGAAGCAGAGCCTCAGGGAACAAGCGTTTGTTTTGAGTTAAAGCAAGTCACTGAGACAGCATCCTCCTCTTCTGGAAACTGTGAAATGGGTTGTAAAAAAATAAAACCACAGCTCACTGAGATGGCGGCAGCTCCCTTCCCAGGCTCTCCTCGCTCCTGTTGCTTCCGGAAGCCCAGCTGACTGGCTGCTGGCATGGGCCTCCTTGGCTGTGTCTGGCAGCTGCACCCACTGCCTGTGCCAAGCTCCCACCCTCCTGCTCACACCCATTCACACTCCCCTCTACCTTCAGCATCAGCTTCTGGTTCAGCCTTCCTGGTACCCTGTAGGGCTAACCAGGCAACGGTGACATCTAGCCCACCAACTGGTCTTGGGTGTCCCCAGGAAACACCAGGAGTGGCAGAGACCGGCAAGATGAGCACCCCGGGGCAGTTAATAGGGAAGAGGGCAGGCAAGGCTCTCCTCTCACACTGAGCCTGTCCCAGAGGGAGTAGAGGAGGAAGAGACAGCCTTTCTGCCCCACCCCACATTCCTCTCATTCCAGGAACCCTAGGGAGAACAGAACTTCCACACAGGGCTTTCGGAAAAGACAGAGGATCAGAAGAAAAGGCTCCAGTCTAGCCTGCCTAGTAGCCGGATGATATCTATCAATCCCTCCACTGCCCAGTGGAGAAGGGGTTAAGAGTGGGGATGCCAGGCCCTGGTGGAGAAGCAGTTCTCAGACTCCTCCCCAACCCAGGTGACTGGAAGCTACAGGGTTTAGAGGCTACCCTCCGGTGTGCACTGGTCTGTGGACACACAGAGACCCGTGGCATTCCTGTCTGCTGGAGTCAACTAGTTGCCCAAGTACCTGATGATGTGGGGAGTGTGAGCTACACACGTGGTAGAGGTGGGATGGGACCCAGACAAGTGCTCGAAGGCTGTGTCTCCTGGTGTGTGCACACTTCTAAGTGTATGCCTATGCCTGTGTGTGTGTGTGTGTGTGTGTGTGTGTGTGTGTGTGTGCGCGCGCGCGCGCGCGCGCGCGCGCGCACCTATGGCTGCATACAGCCTTTACAAACTCCATTCCAGGGCAAGAGGGCACACAGACTGAGCACATTCTCCAAAAAGCTATCTCCCAAGTGCTGGGGCTTTACCAGACTCATACTGACTGGCCGGGGTGGACCCTGGTAAGTCTGCCCACTGCCTCCCCTGGTGTAGGGCACATCCAAGCGACCTGCAGGAGAAAGGGAACCAGAGGCTCAGTTCATCCCCAGGCTGCAGCTCAGCACAGCCTTCCAGGTGCCCCTCGTGAGGTAGGAAAAGCCCAGACCTGAAAGGGGCTCAGGAATTAGGAGTGCTCTGGAAGGCAGGCCACATGGCCAGGGTTGTCTCCTCACAGCTCCTGGAGGAGCAAGACCCGGCTCTCCTCAGATTTCAGTCTCAGATACCTCTTCACAGGCTAGCTGGGACAAAAGTCCCTGGAGCTTCAGGCCCGCTGCCAGCAGGTGCTGGCCTGTGGCTCAGCATCATCAGGCTTCTCTGAACTTCCCCTTCTGCCCTCAAAGCCCCGGTAGTGTCTGAGAGCACCCGGTCTTCACAGGGCGCCCACACCACAAGAGCCATGGACCAGCCTCACGAAGGTGACTGGAGGAGAGAGGCTGGGACCGGCCCAGAGTGGGAAACAAGAGGAAAGAGCGGAGGGAGTGGAAGGTCCTGGAACCACAGCCTGGGGCGGGGGCTGAAGGGGAGGCCAAGAATGCTGAGCGGTGGGCGTTGGGCTTGGCCCATCCTGGGGACATGGGGGTGGCCTGGGAATGATCACCTCACCCGGGAAGCCCCTCAGTCAGTCCAAGAGAGCCTTCCGGAAGTCCCAAAGGAAGCCACTCTCAGGCCATAATAGGAAAGCTCTGTGGTTGCTGAGCCACTCCAATGGGCTACCATGGAAAAGGCCGGCAGGCAATGATGACAAGAGACAGGCCCGACCGACAGCCCAGAACTAATAAAAGAAAAGGAAAATCGGATATAAGTCTGGTTCTTATTAAAAGAGTAAATTTAGCCCTTTGGCTAGGACAGGAGGCGGGGTGGCCAAGGCTCCCCACTGCAGGGGGGGGCGGGCTGGACTTCTTCCCAGAGTGATTCAGTGTCCCAGGACAGGCAGGCAGGCAGGGCTGGAGCTGCAGGAGGGGCAGGGGGCACACACCCTCCCTTGTCGTCCTTCACACCTTCCCTTGTGTCTCCCCCCCTCCCTCCCTGGGCAGCTGGGTCTGCAGGACCTCTCCCAGTTGCCCAGGACTCCCCTAAGGGTGGTGGATGGGCAGCATGGGTGTGGGAAGGTGACCAGGACTGCTCAGCACTGCTCTTTGGAGCCACACCCCCAGCTTGGAGAGCTTCCACTACCAAAGCAGGCACTTCCCTTCCCACTGCCTGGAAATAAGCTAGCCACATAAAGGAAGGCCACCCCAGTGTAGTTAGCTATCGGGGCCTCACACCCACGCACGCTCACACATAAAGCTATACATACATGTGCACCCGTGTTCACAGTGTACACTCACACAAACATATTTATACATATACTCTCATGGACCTACAAATGCACACACAAGCTTGGTGGGTCTCTTCTCAGGAGAAGCAGTGGCCCCATGAACAAGACTGGAGCTCTGATCCAGCTGTGGACAGCCAGCATGTTCTCCTGTACCTAGCCTCTCACCCATGCCTGTAACCCTTAAGGATGACGACCCATGGTCAGGGAGAAGACAAATGACGCCTGACCAGGAACACAGACCCTCACCTGGTCATGCTCTCGGCAGGATGGGAAACTAATGCTTTCTAGTTGAGTAACTGCACCAGGCTGGCTGGATTTCCCCCTCCTGACAAGTGGACCCGTGCCTATGATGCTGTATGTAACCCCATGTCGATCCAGGACACACAGTGATGACATGGGCTGCATAGAGTAGATGTTCCAAGGACAGGGTAGCCTGAGAAGTTAGTGTGGGGGAAGGTAGAGGTCACAGCGGCTAGAGACAGCTCCCCACCCTTCCATGTGACCTCACGCTCATGGCTTCACTCATGCTCACACATCTCCTAGTCTCCTTGCCTAGGTGTGAGCCCTCGGTCCTTGGGGCTGGGGCCTAGCAATGTGGCCCACAGCCAGTGTGTGATGGTTCTGGGCACAGCCACACCCCCAGACCCACAGCACTGCAGGGTCACTGAATGTACCCGGTGCCAGAGCCAGTTTCTGCCTGTATTTCCCAGCACTTCTCCTGCCAACCCTCCCCACACCCAGAGGCCACCTCCATTAGA